TAGATGACTCGACTAAGCACTCACTGACTGAATGACAACTCTATACTAGCTGACTCTGGCATACCAGCAGGGTTTATATAGGTTTTGGCTTGCGTTCGAGAACATTCTGAGCTAAACCAGTAAGAATTCGTTCCCGAAGATTCTTCATCCGTCTATGGCATATTGCCAATTTTGTCGCCATATGGGCGATTTCTCGCCAAATGTGGCAACCCTGCCTTCCCTTGCTTTTTCTGGTAAGCCTAAACCTGCTTTGCGAGAAAGCTATCTTACCGCATATGGACATTTCGTAACAGTATGATAGGCAAAAAAGTACCTTCTGCTGCAGCTAATTCTTCTTCCTTATCACCCGATTTTCTACTGTTTGAAGAAATTCTTTAATGACGAGCTAGATGCAGCAGTAGAGTTTGACATTTTATGTTTATTGATATGAAATTAATATCTATTCGTGTACTAAGGCTTATTGGAAGTTTTGAAAATAAATTTTTGAATGTATTGCACTGCACATCGGAATCATTCAATAAACAGGGATTCCTTCAGTAGGTCTTCGTTAAATGTACATTTTCTTTTTTTCTGAGTCCAATACTAAAAACGTCAATGGTAAAGATAAATAATAAATGAATTAAAATGCAGTAAAACATACGCTTAGTACGTATGTAATGCAGCGCTGCAAATTAAAAAAATATTCGTTACTAAACGGGAAATGTCGTTACGCGTTATCACTTCGGCAGACTTTTCAAAATGTTTTTAACTCTTATGCAAAATCAAAATGAAGATGGAGTAAAAGGTTTAACAACCTAAACGGGATAAAATAAAGATAATTTTAAATAGATATATCTTGCAATGAAATTTCAGCAAATGACAGAAGAATTATTTTTTGATGCCGTGTAATAATATGTAAGGGAATGTTATATACTAATATATGTAATGCACTGTTGATAATTAAATAATGTGTGTATATATTATAAATTCAAATTACGACTGAATTAATATATCAATTAAAAATTGCAATGTTGTCTGTAAGTGAAAGTTTGAACTGCAACTGTGAGCTGTGCGCAAAACGTCAGTGTATGGGGGGGGGGTTGAGGAGAGAAATACCGGAATGAGGAATAGAACTCAACGATTACAGTTTTTCAATGGTAAACGCTAGATGGTGTATTCCCTGTTTATGCGGTCGGTATGGCACGCATCTCTGAACTTCGTTTGTATTCTCAGTTTGCAACCTATGCAACTTAAATTAATATGCGTTCTCACAATATCGTTTTTCAGGACAAATGCTATAAATGTGGAACCAGAAAACAAGTTGTAAAAATTCCGGACAGGGACTGAAAATTCGGGACTATCCCGGGAATTTTTCTGGACGTATGGTCACCTTAGAACTTACAGTTTAAATTTCAGCAGCTTACAGGATTTCAGGTAACAGAAATGCGAACTTAAAATTTAAAATAATTTGGTGCTGGAGATGTACAGTGCAACAGCCTAACTAGCTTTGGCTCAAATTATAGCTAAAGGCGAGATGAATTCAGCTTTCGAAATGAAATGACCAACGCTGGATAATACAAGTTCTAAAGCTCTGCGAGGCAAAAATACTTCGATCAGCTACACTGTCAAGACAAAGATAAAGTTAAACAGATAACGCAAGCTCTTATTTTAAGGCCTTTACAAAAGGTCTAAAAGCGCAGTGCCCGTTTCAAAGAATATCTCAAATCTTTCAGAAGAACTAAAGAATAAAATTCCCCTCCATTTCGCTTATTCAGGGCCCACCAGTAGCTCAGCTGTAATGTTTCTTAACATTGGGTAGTTCAGTTCGAGGTTCCAATCCTGGTGAACGGATTGGCTGCATGGGGTTTTTCGTGTTTTTCCCATGTGTAACATGTATACGAGACAGTTAGATTTAGGATACCTTCCATGAAAGTGTCCCTTTCCTTAGGCAGATAGCCCTAGAGTGCTTTGCCGTAATCAAACTAATCACCCTATTTAGAAGACAAAATCTGGAAATCGTTTCAGTACTTAAACAAACCGATAGGGCTAAACGATTTCCATTCCCCTATAAGAGGAATCGCTTGTATAATTCCAGGCTTATAATAACCTTTTCACTGCTTCATCTTTGCCTGAATATGGAAAACTTCAAAATTTGCATCATAGCTTCAGCCTCGAAAAGAGCTCTGCCGGATAATTCAACGAAAGAATTTGAATATAATAAAAGAATTCGTTACACATATTAGGTCAATAATCACGAGCACAGAATGAGAGTATATTATGGCATTCTAAGAAATGCTTCATGTGCGTAAGTGTAAATGCTTTTCACTCATCTGACCTGAATTAAATGTGAATCTTAGCATCCTAAACATAGATACATTTCAAGGATATTAATATCCCTGAAATCAAAACTCGTAAAAATTCTGGAGAAATCTATGAAACATACAACAAAAGAATTCATTCGAAGATATCCGCAAAGTTTGCTATATCCCTTTTTCAAACATTTAGAGTTTCGCTATAGCCGCTTATGTACTTTAAGTATGTAAGGAGTAAGTATAAAGAAGCTACACGGAAGCAGAAGGCGCTTCCCTCATATCTGGGCTCACGTTATCTGAGACTGGTTTTCTTTGGCGGGCATATTTTATATTAATATGTTGCAATTTTCAATACATTATCGTTTTAGTCATATGAAAGGGACACTAAAAACTTCATGTAGTTTCGCAAATGTTAAAAGTTTCAGAAGCCATATTGCAGATGGTATCAGAGAATTGCAGATGGTGTCAGAGATGGCGCAACAATGAACTACGAAGATTAAAATAGCATCCCAAATAACAATTATTGGAGAGATTAAAGAACAAAAATCAGCCTAATATTTGTAAATTTTGCAAGACGAGTATCGATGGTTTAAATACGATAACCATTTTCATCAGCAGCCTGAAGTGCAAATGAGTGACGATACCTCCTGTAAAACGGTGTCAGGACACCTGGGTGCCTAGGCTGAAGGCCCTACTCCCAGATCGAAATTTTGAGTTGTTCTTAATTATGTAAACATAACAGGTCACAATAAAATCCGAAAAATGATAAGGAATTTAGAAGAATTAGAATTAAATATGAATTTGAAGGATAAGTACTTAGTAGTGAGTTGTGCATCTGGAAAACATTCAAGCTGTTAACTAATAAGTGGTGACAAATAATTACAATAAACACATGGGAAGGTACAGAACTTATGGTGACTTAATTAACTAAGTGGGAATAATTTACAACACTGGTAAATGAGAATCAGATGAGGTGAAATAAAAATCATAAGAGAGAACATTACTACCGAGAATATATAATCATTACACAAATAAGGGTACATAATTTTTTATATATATATAAGAATTGAACACTATTAATTAGTATTGTTCATGAAAATTTCCTCAAATAGGTTAAACAGATTAAACATTTTATCAATGGAATTATCTGCAGCCTGAATTTCAGGCATTATAGCTGAGATTTTTTGGAGAATATTGGCAATGGAAAAACCTTTGAACATATTATAAATTTCTTTGACTAACTTGAATATAGGAATGTAAAGAGGGCAGTAACCTCATGAATGAAATATATACATGATATATAAAAATGGCTTTGTGGCAAAAGTGAACGAGATAGAAAATGGTGATATATAAGAATGGCTGGAAAGAAGTCAAGCTACTGGCGCCATCAATTATTGAAACAAGAAAACTAAAACATAACTTCCTTAAAGGCTGAGGGTAAAGATGAATTGGAATTAGGGTCGTTAACTAGAACAGAAAGAATTTTTTGAATTTACAACGCCTCTAAAAAATCTAATTCACCAATTCAGTTGGTTCTAGTTAATGAACTTAATTGCAATCCATCTTTACTCTCAACCTTTTATGTTTTACTTTTCTTGTTTCATTAATAGATGGCGCCAGTAGGTTGACTTCTTTCCATCCTGCCATATTCTATACCGTCATTTGCGCAGCTGAAGCAAAGAACCCTAAAGCTTAGAGGTTCTTTGGCTGAAGAAGATGGTTCTCTATTTAAACCATCGAAACTTGTCCTGCAAAATTTACAAATATTACGCTCATTCTTATTGTTTAACTTCTCCAATAATAAGTGACAAATATAGTGTAAAATACGAGTGCATTCGAAATGCCACAGTTTTTAAATTACATTAAGGCATCATGGTATTTCAGTAACTCTATATGCATTTTATATCCATGTGTTCAGTAACTTTTTTTATGTGTTCAGTAACATGCATTTCATATCAATGTTTATATTCAGTAACTCTACATTCATTTCATATCCAGTGTGTTTAACCTCCAAATTTTAAGTATGTTCTAAATTTTCCTTTAGATATTTCATTTTCATAAATATGCTTTCAAATGGTTTTTCTTGCAATGTTTTCATGATTTTAATAATCAGTACATCAGCGAAATTTAAAATTTGTATCCTCAATTTTAAAACATTTTATAACAGGCATCTTCAGATAAAGATAACTTTCTAATAGTAAAACAATACTATTTTCAGTTTTCAACAGCTCGCAAAATATTTTAGATACATTCATTGTTTAATTTTATGTATTTCTGCATCTTACACTTTCTCTCAAATGCATTCGCTGAGAAGTTGACGTAATTTTAACAACAACCAGTTGAAAGGAATTTTAAACCTTTTCTTGGGCTTTAAAATATTTATCACGATAATCTTTAAAGAACAAATTGCTTTTATTAAAGTATGCGCGTCCCATGCTCCATATCTCCCAGTACAGTAGCCATTTAAGTTGTGAAAACTACACAAGCCTTTGGAATAGCGTATTTCTTTGATTCTAAGGCTATCATTAATATAAGGTGCGTCTGAAAATAGAAAGCATCACAGACTGGCATATTTCTTCCGAATTACTGATTATATCAAAGTAATTAATTTCTCGAAATACTTTTAAATTACTATTGTTGTTAATAAATCGAAGTCATTTTAAATGTTAGAGTCATATAAACGCTTTGTTTTCTTTATTTTATTTACAGTTTTTTTTTTTTTTTTTTTTTTTTTTTTTTTTTTTTTTTTTCATTTGCAATGCTGACATTAAAGTCTGTGTTTCAAAAAACTGCTTCTTAGAATCTAAGATATATCGTATAAAAGTTGTTAAAACATTTAGCGCTTTACAATTAATTTTATCACAAATTACTTTTTAAAATCCTTTACCTAGAGTGTAATTAAAAAAAACCAAAAACAATAAGACCCCAAACCCTAAATAGAATACCATTTTTTTTAGTTAAAAATATCGAATAAATTTCATCAGTTTAATTACTCTCCACTTGCCTTATGCTCCTATTTTTTGCTTTATCAGAATATATATTCTCTGCACCTTTCGAACTTTTAACCCAATCTAAATCTGGATATGAAATCTCCACTGGCTAAATTTCGGTTCATTGATTCTAATTCCATTGCTTCGGACCACTGGCTCGAAAATCCCGGTGACCATTGTTCAACTTTCCTCTTATTTTCAGCTTCCTTCTTCCTCCACTGCCAGAATAAAAAGGAAATAGAAGGGATATTTCTAGTTCTGGGGATTTCAGACCATTCTTTGCGTGATCCTATAGAAACGTTAATCATATACTTGAGCTGCGCCCCAGACTTCACATTTAACGCATCTGCAGGAAGTTAGATATCCAGTTATCTTCCAGCTTCAGATATTTCTGGAAAGAAAAATTTTGAAAGACTTTTTAGGATCCCTCGAAATTCTTTATCCATAAGGTTATTAAGGTGGAATATAGAGTAAAAAATTTTATTTTGTACTTTGAAATTAAAGCACATTGTATAGCGATAATGTAGGTTAAGTTTAGATTAAAAGAATAATAATACTAATCTCTATGATAATATTCAGATTAAAAAATAATATAATAAAGTAATAAAATAAAATAAAATATAATAAAATAATAAAATAAAATGAACAAACAATATTTCGTATAGTTGTTAGTAGTTATGAAAATTTAACAACTACTAAAAAATATACGAAATTAGGCGTAACGTACAGTAAATTCAAATAATTGGCGTAACAGATTTTTCGCTGTCAAAATCTATAACAGTTTTGCGTTAGCTTCGAAAATTTTCATTGCGTAGGAAGAAGTTATTTAAAAAAAAAAAAGTTAAAGAACTCACTCAAATTCGTTAAACCTAAAAAAGCAGTGCCGGATAAGCAGGTCATGAGTAATAGAAAAATCCCGGATAATTCAAACTTTCAGTTTTTCATGCATAATATACGTATTTATTTCTTTAGAAAAAATCAATAATTTTACTTTTTTGAAATGCGCTTTTTATCACTATATTCAAATCCCTGTTTTTCGACAAAGTCCAATAGAATTTCATGAGAGGTCATTGTTGTCTCAGAAACTATTGTTAATTGTTAGTACCTTCTTCCGTTGTACTTTCAGTATCATTCTCCACCTCTTCTTTTCTTGTAGCATTCGAAAGGATATCCGCACCATTCAAGCACTGATTTGTTGAAATTAGTATTTCTTTGACTAATATGTAATTAATTCAGAAGTCAAACAACAAAAATCAGCGTTATATTTTCAAATTTTCACAGGACTAGTTTCGTATTTGCGTTTTTGCAGCTGGGGATGGTGGTTCGGTAAAAGCATCGAAACTAGACCTGTAAAAATTTGAAAATATAACGCTGATTTTTGTTGTTTGACTTCTGAATTAGTATTTGTTCGGCGTGTTGTGTCTTAATTAATATGTAATTGTTCATGTATTTAAATTCTTTGCGATAGTGAAACAAATAAATTTTGTGATTTAACATTAATTGCAGTAAATGTTGGCATTCTATTAAGTTCGCGACTTCGGCAATGTCAAATTAACAGATATCCGTATATTGGAACTTTTCAAGATAAATGCAGGAAACACAATTTTATAAGTGTGATTTGACCTATTGTAAGAACACAAAACTAAGTGAAGCTCTGCATGGAGTTATCGTTTTCAGAACATTTAATGATAGAAAGCATACAGGAAAGTAAACTATAAATGATGCATAATTAATTACTTTCAATCGGTTTGTGATCTGGAATGTACATTGAATTGTTCATATATCCTTCTTCTTCTCGAAACTTCATTGAAGACAGTATGAAGATTGTTTCTTCGTTACTTCACGGTTATTATGCTCTGTAAATTTCGTATATGCATTGAATTCTGACTACTTTATACCAAGTAATATTGATTAAACCGCTTTTCTCGTCATTATCCACTTTTTTTACACCAGAGGAGTTCCAAAAGTGGTTCATAAATGGCTTCCTTAAACTATTCAGCAAATTTCGTTTTCATCAAATGTGAGAAAATTGTTCAAATGAGCATTCTGGATTGGGTTCTGCAGTTCAGTATGTTTAATCATAAGACTATTAACATTTTTACTTTCTTCAATTTTTACTTCTATTAACATTTTAGCCCCACCATTTACCAAGCGGTTAAGATCTGTGAGGTTTGCGTTATTTTTGCTAACACTTATTTTAAATTCATAGCGCTTTTTTGTCATTTCTTGTTTCTCTCGCATTTCCTCGCCAGAAGGTTTCCTCGCCAGAGTTAGGCTGAACGAGAGCGTAGTAAAACTGAAGTAGCGAATGGTTAATTAGAGCGTGTGCACGTTGTTGTTTCTACCAGCACTACTTGAGTGCGCACATTGTTGTTTCTACCAGCTGTTTGAATTCTGAATCTCTACTTCGCATTCTTGCAGCCTAATGTAATAGTATCATGCCGGTGTAGGTTTCTGAGTCAACCTGCTAGGTTAAATTAGTTGCTAAACCCGCTAAGGCTGAACTACTAGCTTACCTTTGAATTTGGTTTAGTTTACCGTTACCTTTATTTTTATCTTCACAAGTAGATGGTGGATTTGTGAGCACAAAGACTGTGCTAATAACTGTGTGTAAATAACTGAATTTAATAAAAAGGTTTTTTACACCGTTCTGTTGTACTCTTCTTCTAGGCTTAGCGATAAGTCGCTAACAGACTTTCAAGTAGGTCTAGTAGCAGTTTATGCTAGGCAAGAAAATTAGATGCTACAAACCATTGAATACATAAAGTTCGATCCAGGTTCAGACACAAAAGAACGGATTGAGTACATGGTCATTTTCATGATTTTTACCATTTGGCAGGTTATCTTAGAATGGTTATCTACGAAGGTATTCTTTTCCTTAAGACAGATAGCTCTTGCCACAGCAAATGAACTACAGATTTTTTGCTACTTAGCTTTCGGCCATTGTGATGTTGGCACCGAAGCAGATGCCGAACGCTTTCTATAGCCACTGAACGACATGCTCATGCAAATAGCATTTGAGTCCGATATACCCATATCAGATTATCTGGCGCTCTGAATTAGTGGGTGCCTAATTACCGTACTTTTATTTTAGTCTTAAATATCCAGTTTTAGATTTCTGTATTTAATACTGAAGTCTGGCTTTAGCGGAGATTGAGGCTAATATTTATGCTATGTGTTTTTTACATTTTTAGTGCAAATATTTCTTTAAAGTGAATTTTTCAAGTGCATGCATTTTTCAAGTGCATAACACCTCGAAACTTCAGTTGCTATAAGTTTGATGCTTCTTCATGCTTCGCTTGTTATGGGTATTTCAAAGTTTGTGCTTTACGTAATTCGTCGATTGGCGTTTTCAGGAGTGTTGTCCATTGGAATACTCTACCGCGAGCTTATTAATGAATTTTGTAAATAATTTTTTCAATTATTTAATAGATTAAGAAAACGTAAGACTTTTTTAAATTTTATTTTGAAGTTTCTAATTTTTAAATGGTTAATTTCTTTAATAAACACCCTTATGAGAGTATTTATTTGATAATCGCTTAAACTATAGACTACCATCTAACCAGCCATGTTTTTAAGTATTTTGCACTAGTCCCCACAATTCTTGGCATAAATATAACTAAAATTGTTATTTCTTAATATGCATATGCTTGTTGGGCATTTGAGCTATATTATATAGTGTCAGTTCATCTTTTTATATTTCATTTCCCATGATTTATTACTATACTTAATAGTCTTTGTACGTTGCTCACCTCTGGGATATTCTTAACACTCCAATATTTTAATTCTGTTAATCATACCCGCTTAACCCATTAGCCGCTGATGCTACGTTGGCTCAACGATCTAAATAAACACGTATAAAAATATAACTACCAAAGATATTGTTGCGTTTTTCTTCTTCTAAGACCAATTGTTACGTAATTTTCTTCCTTCACGTTCGTAGGGGGTTCGTAGATTTGGTGTAAATAACGACGACACTTGATGATGAAGTACCGAAACACACTTTATTTGGCCAATATTAATCAGGACAGTTCTAATAACACTTTTTACAGTCGTTGAAGATCTACTAGAAACACGCTGGAGCAATCAGCGACACAGCCTTCACACTGTCAGGCAATAACGGTGGAGACAGCTTCACTGCAAAGCACCCGAGTACTGCTCCGGACTCTGCTTGGTCGTTCTCGGAACTCCACGCGCTCTCTCGACGATGCACTAACTGCGATACACTAAAAGACACTTTCGGTGCACTTGACGGCCCACTCGGCACTCGCTGCCCGGCTGTCAACTCGATCGAGTCCGCAGAGATTGACTCTCTAGACGAGGCACACTCTCTGTGACACACTCACTCTCGATGAGAGACACACACTGACTGACTGCGGACCAGCAGGGTTTATATAGCTTTCGGCCTGTGTTCGAGAACATTTTGGGATAAACCGGTAAGAATTCGTTCCAGAAGGTTCGTCAACCGTCCATGGTATATCGCCAATTTTTTCGCCAAATGTGGCAACCCTAAAACTGCTTTGCGGGGAAGCTATCCCACCGCGCCTGTACATTTCGTAACAATATTTTTATTAGCAGACGATATTGTATAGGGAATATTACGAAGATTATTTCTAAAAAGAAATACTTGTCTTCAACAATAATTTTATGCATAATAATTAGGCTCACACTTGAAGCAAAGTTTAAGCAAGACTTTCAACTTGGTATATTTGCCGAAAAATTTAACAAAAGAATGACGGATTTAGGGGGAGATATATTTTTAGCCAAGTTCACCACTTATCAGAGCATTTTATCACTCAGCTGTTTGTATTTGTGAGGGGATGGAAGAGAAAACAGGTTGTGACCTGGTGGAACGTCAGTGGAAAAATAGTATTCCTTTTTTTTTACTTGTGCTCTTACATGCCCTGGTTGACATGCATTCCTTGCATACCTGGAACGAGATACCTTACACTAGAAGCAGCCCTTCAAAGATACGAAGATAATGATGGTAATTACCAAAATGTAACTGATATTGCTGTTGTTTCACCAGAAATTGCAGAAGCTAGAGATGAAGAAGAAGGGAATTATAATGTTTTAATAACGATAAAGATGTTTTACCAATTGGTACTGCTGGGAAAGTTGATGTTCGCGTAAGAAGTAAGTTTCAGCCATCTAAAAACAGTGCTAGTTATACGAAAAAAGTTATAACACAGAAAGCTGAAAACTTAAAATGGATAAAAATGGGCCTGTGTCTCAGGCGAAAAATGAAGAAATAGGTAGAATAGAAACACAAAAGACAAAATACAAGATCAAACTAGTAGATAGATTTTCGACCTTTTTGGTTCAGAAATTTACTCTTTTCTTGTTGAACAGGCAAATATACCTCAGCAAAAATGTCGCCATGAATTTATT